TACTCACATGAAAATACTGAGAAACGCTCTACTAGTTACAAAGAGGGGTTCTTCCTCATGAGCAGCGTGCGCGGTCGCGGCCATGTCGCACAGCCTACTAGCTACAGCCTATTTTCACTTAAATAACTCACGATTTGTAGTTAATTTAGTATATCTCGCTATAGTTAGTATAAAAATAGTACCTATTGTTACAGTAAAGAGTAGGTTTATTACTAAAGGTAAATTTCTTGGGAACATTTTACTGTCTTCGTTCTAGATCAGAGGTCTTAGTACGGGTTTGTTTTACGTTTAAAGTAATCTTAACGAGTACGCGTTCGGCGCTGTGATTGGTTGCTTCATTGGCGCCGGCCAATCAGAGTGCCGAACGCATACTCGTTTCGAATACTTTAAACGTAAATCAAACTCGTACTAAGGCCTCTGATCAGTCATTAATTTCGTAGCTGTATACTAAATAGTTTGGCTGGCAGTACCTTCATCATCAAAAGCATGTAGATGCATACTTGTAACTAACATTATGTTCGTGCATTGTGTTGTGATGTCTAATCTCTCTGTCTATCTGTGTGCTGTCTCCTTCCTAACATTTCCGTCATGCTTAACGCTTACAGAAATCAGCCAAAGGGAAACTAAGGTTCACAGATGACAATAAAGTCGATGTGTCACACAAAAATATTGTTCTCAAAAACTTAGCTCATAAGATAGCGAGCTCTGAGTCTCTAGACGACGACTACGATTCGGACGCCAGCAACGAAAGCACGTTATCAGAAGGCGCACTAAATAAATCTCGTAAACTAAGTCCGAAGTTCGTGTCTGAACCGAATTTGAGTGCTTTAGATACAAACGATGAAACTCCGAAGAAGAAACGCGGCAATCGGCTGTTTCGTTCGAAGATTATGACGACGCAGACGTTGAATAAGAAGTATCAGAAACGGCACGGGGCTATACGGGGGACGCCGACTTGCGTCTCGTGTTTCGATGACCAAGACACTGGGTCGGAGCACGAGTCGTGCCAAGAAACTAGTGAAGACAAAAGTCCTATAGACACACCGACGAGGATTTTGCAGGACGATATGAAACACTACCTGACTAGTACGCCAGGGATATCTGACGCGGTTCTGTTTGATGAAGACTGTTCCACGCCTTACGCTATAAATTTTCGAAGAGCCTCTATGTCGCCCATAACGAAGTCTACGCAAAAGTTGTCCAAAGCAATGCAGGTTTGTTCTTTGCATGAGTTGCATGTTCCATTATTCGTGCTTTTAATGTTTTACGATACTTTTGTCTTGAAAATTAATGTAATTTGTCGACGTCTCTGCCTATTCATCTCATCTATCTACAAGGGTATTGGGGATTAGCAGGGTAGATGTGCGTATTGTCCTATCATTTTTTATGAGATCAATAACAGAGGATTTCTTTTATGTGCTAAATGAACTGAATCAGTGTGTTCAAGTATAATTTAAAACGTAAATTGTCGAAGTAACTGTTATACATTTTGTACTTCGAAACCTAAAGCAACATAATTATCTGAAATTTTACCCAGTGTTACTACCCACTACTTCACAGTGGGTTTTAGGAAAAATATATGTACCGACATGTATGTATATATGAATAGTTGTAAAATAAAGTTATCATAATTACAGGAATCAATAATGACACCGCGATCCCGTAAACCGCTGATTATAACATCGGAACAGCGAGACATGGCCGACACGACCGTTCAGAAAGACGAAACGACCAAGTCTGACGTCATCTATCAGTCTATGTCGCCCAAGAACGATAGCGATTTCGTCTCCTCAGATGATGATGACGTCACAAGGTCCACATTATCGTGTGAAAGGTAACACTAAACAGTCGTCACGAAGAATTTGTTACTAACAATATTTTTTATATTATGCTTAAAAAATAAGTATTTTAGGTTGAAAATTGTCTGCGCTGTTAACAAAGCTTTAAGTATTAATTTTTGATAAGTGAAGATTGATGTCAAGGTAAACTATTAATGCTTTTTAAAAATCCTTTAACATTTTTGTGTCTTGTAAGGCAGCTGTTGCTTACAACTATATTTTTCTTTTTCAGATCAAGATCAAGTCAGTCTGCAAGCACATCACTACCGCGAACGAATCAATTCGATGCCCGATCGATCAATTCAATCGGTGAAGGTAGCCCTATACGACCGGAGAGTACTCGATTCGTTTTAAGCCGCGATAGACCGAATTTAGTTGACGAACTAAACACAACACTATGCGGTAGCGACGATGGCCTACCAAAGTTCGCAATATCTTACGAAACAAACGAACCAAAATGTCTATCGGAACCTTTTAGAGAATACCTCCTCAGTAGATCGGTTCTAACAGCGACTCCAATCGATTTATCGATACTAAATAAATCGAATGACACCGATGATAAAATTAGCGATTCACTTCTCTATTGTTTAGATGGTAACGTACCTTCAGATTTAACGTTATCGATAAGTAATTTGGCAGTCGATAAAGAATCTAGTTTGAGGTCGCCATTAACGAGTATAAGTGTGAATATCGATAAAAGTCCGAATAGAAAGCGTTTGGCTGACAATATTGGTTGCATAGAGGAATCTACGTCTGAGACGAAGAAGCTGATGGTTGCAAAAGAAAATATAAAAGAGGTTTTTGAAATACGAGAGACTGAATTGTAGATTATCACTTTATTGATTGAAGTTTTTGAGAGACACACTAAACATGTCTACCGTTTCGGCGAAATTGTTAGTCATTGAAATGGTAGGCAAAGATGTATGTTAGTCACTTAGTTCTACTTGATCTGTGGCGACCGTATCTACTTTTATAATTGTAATCTGAACAGCAGTTCCTCTAAAAAAATGCCATTTGAATCACTAATTGAAGGAGCCATTATGAAAATCAATGTATGGACATTGACATTTAACAAATTATGCCAAACCGGCAGCTGTAGCCAAATGCCATTTAGCGCTTGTCTACATGTAGAATAGAAAACTAAATTATATGGAATTGACGTAAATTTTGACACTTGTCAGTGTCATCCTCATACATTTAGTTTTCTACTCTCTCTGTAGACAAGCGCTAAAATGGCTTTTGGCTAAAGGCACTGTACATTGATTTTTCTATATATCATTTGAGTAGCGCTTAAATGCCACTTGACTCATGCCACAAAACTAGCGCTTGCTCTAACGAGGTGATTAGAAACGTCAATATGAATCTTTTATTATTACAATTTTTATATTGATATTTCTAATTACTATTACTACTACTAACTCAAGCTAAGCACGTCAAAAATGTATATTTATACCTAAGGGCCCTCGCCTTTTTTTTTAAGGGGGGAAATTATCGATTGACTGCTCCCGCCTGGGTGAGGCGGGAAGGAGTGTCAGACTCTTACTGACTTAAAAGCACCCCGTTCCTTCTCCTGCACGTCGAGCCGATTACCCTTTAGGTTCTCCGCGACTCCGAATCGGCATCGGCCCTGTTGGGCCCATCTGTGGTGGTCTGATGACTCTGAGGCGCGCCGTACGCTCGGGTCTGTTTCTGGTCGGACGAGGAGCCACCCATGCTCGACGTCCGCAGGCCCGCACTTACGGTGGCCGGAGAGCCGGAGAGCGGGCCCTCGTCTACAACGATTATTTGTAGCGATACTAAAACTATCCTAAAAGCGCGACAGCATCGCTTAATCGCTACGCTAACGCATGCTATTTTTATGTACACTGCGACTGTATCGATGCAGACGCGTGACAGTATCGCTACACAAAGTCGCCGTGGACGAAGGCCCTCAAATACAACCTGAAAATACAAAGCGACCCGGAAACCAGGCAAAGAACCGCTTGAACAACATCAGATTAAGTTTTTATTAGCAATTACAGTTAAACTAACAGGAACTTAACGAGTAGCAGTGAAGCTAGGTCTAATATGGTATTATTTATTACATTTAAAAATACATTTCGACACCAATGATTATAAAATAATGAGAATTTGATAAAATATTCCCATTTAAGTGCCTTAAAATGTTCATGACATTACTTTTTAATCCAATATTGGTGCATAATGTATGAGATTATACAAATAGTAAGATAAAGATCTCCGAATTGTGAAACTATTGTTCAGTATTTTTGATTTGAACCTTATTTCTGTTGACATTAAATTGATTTTGCTTTGTAAACCTAATGAAGAATATTGTCAAAAATATTTATTTTACTTCTTCACATTTGAATTGATTATTGTTTTAATGTAACTATTTTAGTTATGAGTACGTTTATAAATATAGAATATTTGAGTACATTATGACTTGGTTCTTTTATTCTACATACATATTTCTAAATTTAAAAAGTTAGTAGCTATTTAAAAATATTTTTTATTGAAGTTTGTGCAAACTTGCAGGCGATTTTGATTATCATGATATCTAAAAAACGTCTAAACCCGGATTGACTGGTTAAAACTAAAGTTTTTTTTATATCAATCCGGTAAACGAGCAGACGGATCACCTGATGGTAAGCAATCGGCGCCGCCCATGGACACTCGAAATAGGCAAGGGAATTGGGAATTTGAGGATTGTGGAGGATTCGGGGATTCGGGAGACGGACTAGAGAAGGGGGTAATTGGGCCTCCAGTAACCTCACTCACACGACGAAACACAATGTGAACGTTGTTTCACATCGGTTTTCTGTGAGGCCGTGGTATCACTCCGTTCCGAAGCATGGGTCTCCCACACGTGCATCATCTTGCATCCTACAGGGGTTGTAAATTATCTCCTTTTCTAGACGACTATAGTCAATAAAAGGCTTCGTACGACTTTGTTTTACGTTAACTAATAACGAGACTGAGACCGCGTACGGCATCCTGATTGGCCGGCTCCAATGATTCGTCCAATGACTGCGCCGAACGCGGCCTTGTTGTGATCTCGTTAAATGTAAGACAAACTCTGTTGCTAATGATGGCGATTCACATTCGTACAGACATGCAAGGATACACTAAATTCTAGTAGAATAATCAATAACGAGATTGTGTTAAAAATCAATTTTATTTATAATCGAGTTGTAGGTATTTAAATGTTTACAATTGGTCAGCAGAAACATGTAAATAAGATACCTAAGATCAATATGACTGTCACGCAGCAGTAGAATTGACAACAAATACGATAACAGAAATTGGAGAATCTTTCATTGAACGAATCCTTTTGGCTGAAACAAGGAAAGGTAAGGGTTAAAAAGTATTAGAATGCGAAGAGCAAGTTGTTATGAATTTGGACTGTTCGTAATTTTTATACGCGTGCCAATTTAAAATAGGGTCGAGTAGCTTCGCACTTCGTTAAGTCTACAGCCCTTATAATTTACTAATGTCCGCTACAATGACGTAACCATACTAATCGAGGACCCCCTTTGCCCATTAAATTAAAAACGGAGAAGTTCAGTTGAGAACTTCTGATGTGGGGTCTTTTTCGGTTGGGGGCTCGTGGCATTTCGTCGACTTGCCAGTCTATATTTACTCCACTGCATAGTTAGTTAACTTTTAAAGCGACTAGTCCTACAAGTCTGGACATCAAAACCAAAACTTCAACCTACGAAAATATTTTAACAGTTTCTGAGATAGTTTCTCTATATCAAAATATAATGAAGCCCTAAGCACCTATAAGTTTGAAGGACAAGCTCGTCACTCGGCGTGTCTCCTGCGTGGAGCAATCTTGCTGGCATCAGAAGTGTGATGTCGGCAGACCGCGGGCGCATTTCACTGGCGTTGAGATCCTGCGACATACCTACCATGGAGCACGAGTTAACAATCTCATAGAACAAAAACTAAAGTAACTTGTGATGTAAAATATGATAACTTAGGCACCAGCAGGTTTATGACTCATGTCGAAGAATGGCAGTTATGAGAAAATCACAAAAATTGCTACATACTATGGGTACCTAAAATATTTAAATAGATGGATATCGAATATCGTAATTTTGTAAATGTGTCCGATTAAGTAACTTTGCTACGAAACGTTTCATTCCATCGTAAAGTTATCCAACTTCACCTTTTTAGAAGGCGTTCAAAATGTATGAACTGAAACGTTAACGGCTAACATAAAAGCAAAAACACCAACTTACTGGTAACATCGGCCTCCTACAGGAGTGTAACAGTTATCATACATGGCACACACAAAGCACGGCCTTGCAACGCTTTTGTGTTTTTTATTTTTTATTTTTTTAGGCTTGCACCGTAAATTATCTCTTTTGCTGGAACAAGCGCTGTGATTTGGACCATAGCAAGGGATTGTTGTAGATAGGATGTTACAATAATGTGTTTCGGGTAATGGTTCTAGTTCTTTTTCAGCTTCTTGGATTTCCCTTTCTTTTTTTATTAATCGTTCTATAAGTTTTGCTTCTTTTACCTGCCGCGCTTTTTCGCGTCGCAAATGTTTCAACCGTTTCTCTTCTACTTTTGTGATCCTGTTCAGTTCGTTTATAATGAGTTTTATGTGCCACTGACAAAGGTTTGCTTCTTGACATGAATTATTTTTGGAGTGGTTCTTGATGTCGCTGAGTGAGCCGGGCACGGATACGGATGATCTCGATTCACTGATGTTTGGTTGTAGCCTGGTAACAAAATGAAGGTTAATTTTAACTGTAGGTAAATGACCAATACAAGAGCTAAAAGTAGATAGTTGGTGTTTGAGAAAAACCATAAGGAATAAGGAATAAATCAATTACTTCTGTGTGCAATCCGCGCAAAGCTGTACAGAAGGATGTGGGCGTGATTTTGAGCCTCGCAGGAACCTATTAGTCATTTGGATTCACTCATCTTCTGATAATAACTGTGTGTGGCTGCATGATTATATATTTTATTTGGTTCTGAAAAGATAGGTGTACTTTTGCACTTGATGTGAAATTTGACAGTGATGTTGACGTGGTTTTTATTTTCGTAATCGTACTTTTGATTGATGTTATGGTAGACCTGCATGGAGGTGGGATATAAAGACTAAAGAGTAAGCCTATATTTGGACGTTGTAAAAAAGTCGGCTACTGTAGACCTACACAACCTACACGCAGAATAGTCACACATTGACACAAAGGACATCTGTCGCGTGGCATGGTCCGCCTTTTTTTTTCAACGTGCTAATGTCGCTTGCAGATTTTGTAGCATCCTTTGTCTCGTTCGTCAAAGAAAGATTTGTTTATTTATTTATTTTTATCTATTCTTGTGATCCTGTCTATTCCTAAACCTATCTTTAATTATTGGACCTTTCGGTTTCTAATAAATGGTCGTAATAACTCAAAGTTTGGCGGATGGCCAAAGCTCGGTAGCATTAGAATATTAGGAATAAATTACCGGGCCGTTGCATCAGCGAACGGCTGTATTAATTCATTAGACACGGTGTATGTACTTCTAAGTCCGAAACACTAGGTATGAAGTTTTAGGATAAAAGGTGTATAATATAATGATGAGATTGGTGACTTGTAATGAGTGTGGTGATATTTTAGTCTTACCAACAGGCGAGATAGTAGCCAAATTTCGACCCATTAAATATAAAAAAATTCTTCGGATTGCCAATTTTTGTCTTTGGGAGGAAAGTACCCCTCGATACCCAATCTAAGTGGCCATCTAAAATGGAGACTGCTGGAGAGCCATGTGTCGAGCCGAAGCATGTTAGTTGGACACTTAAAATCATCTTTATGAGTACATAAAGATGACTCATAGGAACGAGTTCGTATTGATGTTGAGACCTGCTCATGCTGTCTACAATGTTTTTACCCAAAAAGGTTTTAGCTCTATATCTGAACTCGTCATTAACAACGTCCATTACCATCCATCCATTATTACATGTTAATCTCAATGATAAGCTATCTAGTTTATCATAAATATTAATTAACAGGCTTTCATTAATGTGGATTGATTGACCTTTAATACAGACGTCTTATATTTGGATTCTGGATATTAATATTCAGTTTTAGATCAAGTTGCTGTTAACACTACATTTCCCGGCGAGATCGGTAGATGGGTGTAGCGAATTCGCACTTTTACGAACCGAGTTGGGAGTAAGACTACCTTGTGGTCTTTATCAGCACCTAGCTATAAGAGGTACTGGATCCTTTAAATAAATCATCTCTAGAACCCGCATTTTACCGCTTACCTAATTAAGACTTCGACTTTACTAATTTAAAGGATTTTAAATGTTAAAAGTAGGTCCACTATACAGAAGAATCTGAAATCAAACGACTTAACCCGTTGAAATTCATCCCCTAAATTTGTTCATACAAAAGTTGTCTCTAAGCATTGGAAATAAGGTCTATAATGTAGGTCGTGGAGAGCGGTCACCGGTGACCGCTTGGGTATCTATGGGTGCCTTAGACTGCCGACCGAAAACTGTTAAAGGCAAATCCTCCGCTAGGCTAATGTTGGTCACTGGTGACCTACACGACGGTTAACGTGTTGATATAATTTTGCTATAAATCTTAAACAATTATTTTTTATATTTTCTCTCTTCTATTTTCTCAATGAAATCGTTGCTTGCTTCTTGCTCCTACCATTAACTCTTGTCTGCATCACCCAAAGGTCAGACTGGGAGAAAATGCCTGCGGCATTAAGTCCACCTTGTGTACGCTTTATGCATGAAGCGTTAATAAATAAATAAAATTTTCCTCAGTGACATCAATGACCAAGTCTTAACAAAGTCCAGGTGAATTAAACTTCAATAGCGTCTCTATTGAATATCTCCGTAACCAAAATTCACAAGGAAGGTAAAATCGTTTGAATTTGAACTGAATTATTTACTATAGACGATTTAATTTGCAATGGTCGTTCCAACGGGGATTCTAGGAAATAGTTGGTTGAAGATGGTACCTATTCAAAGGAATCCTGAGTACTTATGTAGGTATTTGTAGGAATATTCAGACGAATTTGGTTTCACACTGGTATACCTACATAAGTATCTATTCGGCACATCACAAGGCTTTTTTTTATGGGGGGAAAATCATCGAATGACTGCTCCCGCCTGGGTGAGGCGGGAGGGAGTGTCAGACTCTTACTGACTAAAAGCCACCCAGTTCCTTCACATCGAGCCAGAGCTCCAGTAACCCGTTAGGTTCTCCGTGACGCATCACAAGGCTACAAGCGCATATGAGATCTAGGGATCTAATCTATGAATACTTCAGAAAATTTATGTATGTTGTTTAACATAACATACATAATATCACGCCATTTATCCCCGAAGGGGTAGGCAGCGGTGCACATTATGGCACCTTATGCCACTGTACAATGTAACACCCACTTTTCACTACATATATTATGAGTCCCATGTAAGAGGGGATGATATTGCCATATACCGGGCACGTTTTCAGACTCCGTGCTACTACTGAGAATTTCATAAAAAAACCAGTAATGGTTTGGCCCACCCGGGAATCGAAGCCGAGACCCCTATCCCGGTAGTCGCACTTGCGACCAATCGACCAACGAGGCAGTCAAGTCAATTTGTATGTTGTTTAATTAATTTCTAAATTCACAATCTCTAATTTAGCGTAGCCAATAAAATCGTGTTGGTACTATTTATATAGACTGATTTTTTTTACTATAAAAAAAATTAAAAATAAATAGATCAACACGTTGTCATCAGGAATTTGAATTGAAGATAGAGGCAATAGATATCGCGAGCAACAACACGCAGAAATATTTATATCTACCTACATATTTATTCATTCAGAAGCAAGATCTAAATAGTTCAGGTCTTCAGGTACGTCAAATATTTCATTAGAACTTAGATCAGTTGGTATTCCAATGGAATCCATGAGGAATGCTCGTTCGATGTCTATTGTCTAGCTATCTTGCGGTTATACATAGGAACCTAACTATGGCTAAGTAGGTAAGTATTTGTTTTCGTACCTATACCAGGATTATGTTGTATTAAAGTGTAGTCCTCTAGATTAACTGGAGTGATACTACGGCTTCTCAGAAAACCGGCGTAAAACAACGCTTGCGTTGTGTTTCGTCGTGTGAGTGAGGTTACCGGAGGAGACAGCATATTACTTACCATCATGTGATCTGTCAGCTGGTTTGCGGATTTATCCTATAAAAAATTATCTAGCTTGTCTAGCTAGATACCTAAGTATCCAGCGCTAGTGCGTGGAGATTAAGGCAAACGCTTCTTTAACTATTTTAGCTTACGGGGTTTTGATCAGTACCAGCTTTACCATAAGGGCAGTCGGGGCCCGTACCTACGTATTCTCAGGGGATACACACCCAAGTTGTGCGGCAGCGGGTTGCCGCGTAATATGTAGCGGGGTCCATTCCTGCATGGAACAAATCTTTGTGAGCTCCACATATTGTTGTTTCGGGTCTGGGTGTCATGGGTATGTGAACTTGTATTTTTGTAAATGCACCCACGATGCACCCACGAGTGTGCTCCACACTTGGATTTTCTCCTGTATCGTGGGTGCATTTACGTTAAAAAATGTTAAAACAAAAGACATTCCCAAAGAGCCCTAAATTATTGTGACTACTAGGGCTCCAGCGCAGTCTAAGATGGCCCTGGTTTTGATGATAATACCTGCGATTGAAACAATATAACTGAACTAATACATAAAAGGTAGGTACTCATACCTATATCTATAACCTTTATATCTATAAAGAACTCAATCGTTGATACACTAGAATGGACATTGTACCCTCACGCAAGTGCATTGAGATAAGGGCACAGACCAGTTAATTGCAGTTATGACAGTACGTACAAATATTTAAAAAAAAACATATACTATAATATTTATATGGAAAATACTGGATATTTCCAGATTTAACAGTGTTCTTAGTTCTTATCATAGTTGTTAAAAACTTTTATTTCGATATGCTTCGTGTGTACCATAACATAAACATGCCTGTTATATTTAGCAAACAGGGTTTAACTGTACATTGGTAGGTAATAAGAAAGCTGCTAAGTACATATATTGCATCAGTTATACCAATCATACGTAGGTACTATGTGTGGGAGAACTATGCTTCGGCACGAATGGGCTGGCTCGACCGGAGTGATACCACGGCCTCACTGGAAACCGACGTGAAGTAACGCTTGCGTTTTGTTTCGTCGTGTCACTCAGGTTACCGGAGGCCCAATTACCCTGTTGGCCCAACTGACTCAAGCAATAAGGTCTAAGAGGTATTAGAAGATTTTATTATTAGAAGAAACTTATTTGTTTGTTTAAATTAAATGTAACCGCAAATTATCTGCTATTCATATAAACTTATTATCTTTATAGGTACGCACCTACTTGTTTCTTGTCATTATGTAATGTCAACTTATCATAATAATTTGTTTATATTTTTCATTCATTATAATTAAGAATTAGGCAGTAATATTCCGATGATTTGGTAAACTATTGTATAATTACGATTGGTCTTCAGTGATTTAATTGACCTTCATCACGTAGGTTTAATAAAAGTAAACATCTTATTAAATAAATATGTATTTAATACCTACGTCAAAGGCCCATCTATAATTTAAAGTTCATTGTTTCTTACAAGACGTATCTAGTAAAAAGGTCGCTAAATTTTTGTCGTTGAATGTTGTCATAGTACCTAATATTAAAAAGTGTCTTTTCTGCTGTTCTTGCGACAGTCATAAGACCCTTTTTTGACACGTTCAAAAGGTGCCTAGCTTTTTGGATGAAAAACTATAGGGAGTGTGGGATTATTACCTCCTTAAACCACCCAGGAGGCTACCCTCAGCACCTGTAAGGTGCCGGGTTCTCTGAAGAGACCTGCTCCGGAGCGACCACGGTACAACGCTTGTTACAGCACATCCCTAGGGAGACGTGCGTGTCCCTTGATCATCGCTTTGCACAGCAGCACATGACCACTGTGTCACCGTCATCCCTGAGGCCACTAGATGGGCACCTAGAGTCCATGCACCTGACTCTATG